CACTGGAACCAGGAAGCGAAGGGCAAAAGAGAACACTCTTCCGGGAGTCCTTACCTATATACTGGGCATGACATGTATGTTATGAAATAGATTATTGGCTATTCTGTTCTCAATCTAGTAATCAAAGAACAAATCCTGGGCTAACAGCCAGCGCTGGGCCCTCCCAGCCCTCCTTCTTGTCTGCGAAGAGCAAAGAGGCTCAATGACCTTGAAGTATCCTAGCAATAATTATAAACGTTCCTTTCTTATCAGCTTTTCTCCTGAGCATAAATCCAAAACATAGCTTCTTGCTAGCTATTTATGAAGAGGAAAAAAAAAATTAACAGAGTTAACTTTAAGCAGTCTGTGCTTAACCCAGGACAAAGGCTTTGCTGCTATTGAAATTAAAGCTTCAAAAAGAAGTCTTTGAATTTTCTCTTTTTTACTGGATCATTCTGTGGGAATAAAGATGATGATGTCTGGGGGCAAGGGAGCCAAATACAACTTCTCTGACAAGTGTTCAGATCTGTAAAGGTGCATATTAGTAAAAGTGCACTGTGTTTCTGGACTTCAGAACCACAGTTAGCTTAATTTTCCTCCTGGCTTCAGATATGTCAGGTTTTTGTTCTCATGTCTGTAGGTTTGTTTTGGGTTTGTTTTTTTTCAGCCGTAACAGTGTACTTAACAAACTTTGGTCTCTTAGCATTAGTTCCTTCAAATGCACAAAATAATTCCTTTACTATTATGTCAGCAGTGTCAGTCTACTTCTTTCATGATTGCTTTTTGTTCTGGCTTCAGGTGGATAGAACAATTTCCCCTATAGATTCATAAGGTCACTGCATCTTTTTTCCTTCACTCCATCCCCCCATACTCTTCCTGATTCTTGGATATTTAAATGCATCATTCCTCCATCTTTCACGTATTTCCTGTTTTCTTGTATCATAAGATCTTTAGATCATGGCCAGTATCTATTTTTGTGTATCTACCACATAATTTCTCTGATGCTAGTCCAGGCACAGAGGTGACACTATCATATAAATAACTCGGTCAAGTCAAGACAGTGGAAGGTAAAACTCTCTTTGAAGGAAAATGCCCATTATTCACCACTGTATGTTACAACTAGCAGATGGTGGAAATCTTTGGATTACTCTAAATAAAAATCAGTAAGATTTTATTTTTTTTAACTTGGGAAATCTTTAGCCTTCCTATCAAAATAAATTAAAAGGTGCTGCAGAAAGTATTTCCCATTTACAAAGATCTTATGAGTAAATACACGCACTTAGGTCTCATAACTGGTTATTGCTGAATTCTGTCTACTATGTAAGAAGTACAATTCAGCCCTCTTGTGGTTGTCTGTAGGCATGCAAGTTTCTTAGTTTGTGGAGAGCTATATTAAAAACATAGACTCTTAATAGGTTTTTCAAAACTTCGGGGTTCACAATCGTATTAGAGAAGCAGTGAACATAGCCTGCAGAACTATGTTTGCCGCAAGCTTGTGCTGTTGTTTGAATCTGTAGGGTTTTCCTAAACCAACCGATAAAATTGGAAACATCTGAAGAGTTTTAAGGAGTCAAGAATTTCCAGTTTCCCGAAACGTCTTGTCTAGGCTAGCCTATATAGAGTAGTAATATGTTGTAAATGAAGCTTGTAGAGACAATATATAGTTCTCGCCCTGTAACACTAACACTTTTTGTTCTGTTCGTCCTATACGATACATTCAGTTACTCTCTAGTTAGGAAACAGAACTCTTCATAGTGCTTTGCTTAAATCCTATGAACTCAAGTGAAAAATTTCAGTACTAACAAACATACATGCCATTTGTCTGTTATGACAAAACATTTTTCTGTTATGACACCATTAATTACAGCAGTGCTATTAAAAAGGAGACAAAGTTCTGATAAAGCATTTTTGCCAGCAGTCTCTGCCTTTTGTAGTGTTTAAAAAAAACACCACCAACAAAACAACACACGATGCAGAAAAAAACCCACCCTACAAATTAAGAACTTATCCAGAAATACGTGGAAAGCCCTTTGTCAAGAGTGTGCTACATCAGTGAGGTCAATGTGTCTGTTTGTCTTCTTTAGTGGAGAGTGGATTTGTACATTCTGTCGGGATTTGTCCAAGCCAGAAGTTGAATATGACTGTGATAAACCTGCTCACAGCTCTGAAAAAAGAAAATTGGAAGATGCTGCGGGTTTGGCACCAATAGACCGTAGGGTAAGGATAAAATGACTACTGTCTTGCTGCTTCTTGTATTCTGAAATGTATGCATCTTTTAAAAAGTGGTAGTAGAAGAGGAGAATTAACTTTTTAAATAAGGTCTGAGATCACAACAGCCTTCATGTAAACATGCTGAACAAGACTTTCTGGATGTCTGAGAAGTGGTTGTGATCTGGTGCTCTGAACTGGGACTGTGTTCTAGGAATTATTCTTCCTAACAGCTCTTGTACAGTGACCTTGCATTGAGAATTTTTTTCTTTGTGCTTTCCAAATTTGGCATAGAGTGACATTATCAACTAATGGTTTTAGTCTTTAAAGCACTTTGTCAACATCTTTTTGAAAAATTAAGGTGGTTCTTTCACAATGAAGTTATAGAGGGATGCAGTACTGATCCGACAAGAGATTAACCCAAGTCTCTGGGAATAACTGCTGTCCTTTTGCAGCTTTGAATGTTCCGATGGAAAAGCTGCAAAGCAAGCAGTGGGTCTTTAACTTTTGTTTTTCCCTTAAACCTTGTAGTTAAAAGAAAAAAGTTGTGCCTTTGAGCAGACAGTTGAACTACTTGACAGAATCTTTTGTATTCTTGGAGTTTTGAGGGGTTTTTTGCCTTTTTTGATTTTCCTGCTTTCTTTGCAGTTGTTTTCTTTTTATTTAAAGCTTCTTTTAAGCAATTTTGAGCTATATTGGAAACATTCAGCAGTGTTTTACTTGGTTTCAGTTGGCAGCTTGTGTAAATACACTGAAATTAATATTTTATTTGGGGCCTTAGTCTGCCAGTAGAACCGTTATTTGCATGTGCTGCTATCTAAAAGGAAAAAAGCTAGCTCTGTTTGTATTTTGCTTTAAATGCAAGTTAGTTATAAAAATGTAAGTTATAACTCCCGTAAATATTTTGGTAAAGGATCAGCAAGCATAAAAACAAACAAAACTATTTTTAGAATCTCTTTCAAGGCCCCAGATCCAGTTTAATATATTTGGATACACAAAGAAAACATATTCTTTGCTACTGCTAACAAAAAGCACTGTAGGCTTTGCAGTTACAGAGCAGTTATTCCCAGATCAGGAAAAATATTACTGCTGTCTCTGAATATTCGTAAATTGCTAAGAGCCACGCATGCTTTTTTTATTCCCTGGAATGCCTGCTGGGCTCAGCAAATGCTGAATAATACTGTTAGTAACTGTATGAGGTTTCATAGTATGCATATGAGAGTTGATAAAGATATATCTATTGCAGAGAAGGAATACTTGTAGGCCGCTAGTTATGACAGTTCATCTTGCTTCCAAATACAGTTTCTGTGCTCACTTCTCTGCTTAGGGGCTGGGGGATAGTACTGATATCTGTTTGGTATTTTCTGTAGTTTGTTATTTTAGAACAAATCATGTAGGATTCTCTAATTACTTGGATATCTGTTTTTCTTGTCACAGAAGTGTGAAAGACTGCTGCTATACCTCTACTGTCATGAAATGAGTCTTGCTTTTCAAGATCCAGTTCCTTCCACAGTAAGTACCTCACTTCTTTTCATTTTATATTAGTAACATAATTTGCATGTTTCTAATGGCATTTTTATGTCCCATCACGGTCCGTTATCAGAAGTCAAGTTTCCCAGACATTGAGTGTATTAAACGTGTTTATTTTTATTAAAACTGTCCGGAGGTCAACTAAAGCATTGGGTTGGAAGGAGATTTTCTTGTAAAGTTTCCCACAAACTGATTTTACTTAATGCTTCAAAAATAGACACAAAAAGTAAGTTCTAACACTGTCTACTGATTTCACAATGCTGAGTGATATGACTAAAAAGGTGAATTGGGATATGTTTGATTTTTAAAAACATTACCTGATTTTGAAAATTAGAGTACTCCTTAGTACTAATATGAAATTTGATCTTATTATTAGCTTGAAATTTATTTGTTTAAATTGGTAAACAATACCTGGGTGCATTAGAAGTCTGATGATACACAGAAGAGTTACCAGCATGATCAGATGAAAAGCACCTCTTTTATATTCTGCAAGATAAGACAATGGAAAATGAATTAATCAATAAGTAATATGCTCCTATGCACCCTTTTTCTTCCATTTGAATAAGAATTCTTCTTTTGAAGAACATTCCACAGAGTTTAATAAAAAGAAAGGGCACAGGATCAGTTAATCATATGATCATCATTTATTACTAAATTCAGGTATTACAACATTTCTCTTAAAATGTTAATTTAATTAGGAAAAAATATAAAAATATTATCATTGGATTTCATATCTTATTTTCTAATTTCTCATTCTTTCTAAAGAAAGAATAGTTCTTAATCCTACAACTACAGTTTAAGATGCCAAAATCATTCATATCTCTGAAATTTTCTACCATTTCCAAGGACATATTTCATGAGCGAAATTCATTTTAAGCAACCCATATACTGTCTCCATTTGAGTGTGTTGCCAAAGTTATCATATGGTGGTCCTGAGAGTGAAACTTAATGGATGGCTCATTTGACTACATCCAAAAATAAAGTCCAAATGGTTTGTTCTATCGTGTATAGTCAATGTGGGTGGGTTTTTTTATTTTATTTTAAAATAGGCACTGGAAGGAGTATATTTCAGCCAGCAAAACTAGCATATGTCACTGTTCTTCCAGAAACAGTCTGTATGTTAAAATTACAATTCTTATATCTTAGAATTGTACTTTGAAGATGAGACTAAATCTTGCCACCTCCCTCAGAACTAAAGATTTATAAAACAATAAGTAATGAACATAACTGCATTCAGTAAAAAAATTATTTTCCATTTAGGTTCCTGATTACTACAAAATAATCAAAAAGCCTATGGACTTGTCAACCATCAAGAAAAGACTTGAAGTGACCAATTCATTCTACACAAAGCCAGAAGATTTTGTGGCTGATTTCAGACTGATTTTCCGGAACTGTGCTGAATTTAATGAGGTTGGAAATGTAGTTACTTCATCTGATTTTGTAGGCTTAGTTGTTTTCAGGTAAATTGTAGTGGGGGTGGAACTTGCATCAGAAGAATTTATTGTATTAAACTTATTTTGATTATGAGGCTGCAGTGAAAATGCAGATTGCATAGATGACTATGCAGTGGAGATCCTTCCGTAGAAGGAAAGAGGATTGTAACAAACATGCTATCTGGATGCCAAGGCAGTATAGGACAATTGTTTATCATAGAGGTTAATGGTGGGCATTTGATTCAAAAATTGGTTTAATCCTCCTTTCCCCCAAATCTTAAATTTGGTGGGATTTTCATTCTGGGAGGTCCGTACTCACCCTTATGATTTCTAGTTGCATGTTGAGTGATTGTTATTATCGCTCACTGCACATAAGGGAACATGTGGTGAAAAAGGGGTGCAGGTACTGAGTGGTCCACAAAATGAGAGAATTACACTGGGAATAAGGGCTCCTCTAAGTGTCCTCAATAGAGTTCTCATCCAGTCATCCTTGGTATCTGGGAATACTTCCTGCCATGGCGACCTCCACTTCAGGAAACTGATCAGCCATGGTGGCTGTGAATGACTTGGAGACTGCCTAGTCTTCCAAATTACAATCATCATCTATCCTAGTAATATTTTTACTTTAATTTTTAAAAGTCTGTAAGATAGAGAAATTCTAGCATTTCAAGCAGTCGTTCCAAAACACTTTAGCACCCTGAAGGCATGCCTATATATTTCACATCATGACCCACCTTCTTTTTTTTTTTTTCCCCCCATTAGGATTTAAGAGATTTTAGAATCTTTTTATTGTTCAGAACCCAGGCAGTATGGTTTTTGCAATTGGCTTCTGTGATAATCCATCAGAGAAAAAAGTCATTGGGGATGTTGGCCAAAAGATCTCTCCTTGCCCTTTATTTCACAGGCTTTTTTTTTTTTGGGACCGTGTTTTCCACAGGTGCCATTCTTACTGCTGATTGACTTTTCTTGGGATTTGTAAGAACACCTAAAAGACTTAATGTGATCTAAGTATAAAGCTGTTTTGTGATGCATTGCTACTGTTAATTTACCCAACAGCCTGATTCAGAAGTGGCGGATGCTGGCATGAAACTTGAAGCATACTTTGAAGAACTTCTAAGGAACCTTTATCCTGAGAGAAAGTTCCCTGTACAACCCAACTGCCAGAGTGAAAAAGATAATCCAGAACATACTGATGACTCCGATGATGACTTTGTACAGCCCCGGAAAAAACGCCTCAAAGGAGAAGACCGTCAGTTGCTTAAATGAGCCGCATGTGTTACTATGGAAAGTTTTTTAAAAACTAAGACTATTTATCACTGTTAAATGTGACAAGGGGTAAAAACATGACTGCTGTGACTTGTAGGTTTGTGGATATTTACTAGACTTTCGACCCCTTGTCTGAAACACAAATCTAATGGAGATCAAGGCATGTGGAGAGCTTTTCTTGAAGTTCCAAACTTTCATCATACTTCTGGAGCACCACAGAAATTGCCATTTGCGTGGGGTACAGCTGTTTAACTTTACTTTGATGAAGAAAAGAAGTTTGTATAGAATTGAACTTGAAAACATTACATGGGTTCAACATGTGGCTTTCTGAGTTGGAAGAAAATGTGATCTCACCAGACTTTTAATTTTACCAAAGGCATGTGGCTGGCCATAATTTGATTTCTTAGTACTGTATTTAACACAAGCCATGAAAACAGATGGTGTAATATTATTGTCCTGCAATACTGACTGGTACAATGAAAGTGTAGTTGCCCCCAAAGAAATTATTGGTAATTTTAAAATGTAAAGGAGAGTGTATTAAAAATAACTTTAAAAAAAAAAAAAAAAAGAAAAAAAAGGATTTGTTTGAGTTTTTATTAGAGGAAGTAAATGACAGAATACATTGTTTTGTGCCATTTTTCTCACCACCAGCAAGAAACAATGGTATTCCTGTACTGTTTGTTTTGTTTAACAGGTGTCTCAGGTTTGGTGCACCTTGGTTTAATGGTGTCGATGGCAAAGTCTTGAAGGGAAAAATGTTTGCTTGCAACAGCCAGTTGGGTTTTATGTATGTTTAGAGAGGGGGGAAAAAAAGCATCCTTTTGGTCCACAAGCTCTTGTTGTTTTTCCAAATTTCTAAATATATTGTTGTCACAATGCAACCAGCATCGTTATTCACTTGGAAGTACATGTTTGAAGAGGTGGAGAAAAAAAGAATTATATTGCTCTTCAACCCTTCATCTGTCCCTGTTAAAATCACCAGCAGTTGAGGACAAGTTACCCTTTTGTTTTGTCTACTTCCGAGAAGCACTGACAATGATATAGATAGTGGTTTCTCCCCAGAGAGTTAGAGAAGTACTTATCTATTATTGCTCCAGCTATTGGTTTATACGCTTCATTTAGGTAATCTTAAATGAAAACTGAATATTTGGGAGACCAGGCAATCTTTTAGATTAATTGAGCTCTGATTGTGCCAAAATTTTGCGGATGGAACTGTGAAGACATCCGAGTGTACAGAAACCTGCTTTTGACTTGCAGTGTAGCACTGATGCGGTGCTGTGGATAGATCATTGAAGAGACTAGCTGAAAGTGCTGCTTGTGCCTCCCTGCTGTGTATATATGCAATCAGAAAAAGGCCCTTTTTTTTCTTCTCGCCAGATGAGATGCTACCCACCTCCCTTTGTGGCACTGTAGTGGACGCTTCAAAAGAACACTCAGTTGTGTTTCCAGCAGGCCTTTGACATAGTTTTTGAAATGCCATGATGATTTGGTTGGTTTTTAGAGCTGCCCAGAGTAACCATTTATTTATTTTCCCTTTTTACTTTTTTTTTTTTTTTAATTATGTGAAGAAAGTTGTTTGTAGCAGTTTTACCATCCCAGAGTACCATAAAAAATGGAAGAAAGGTGAAGGAACAACAGGACGGTGAGGGAGACTATTCTAACAAAACAGGTGTGGTCAGTGCACCCCACGGTATCACAGACCTAAGAAATAAGAGGCACTGCCATTGCAACAGTTGATGTCTTGAAGATCTAGGAATGCCTAAAAGTCCTAGATACCCTGTCACCAAGTTTAACAGTGCTTCCAGAGGAAGGTGCTGTGTGTTTCTCTGGACTGTGAGTGGCAAGCACAGATTTATTGGGAGGCTTAGTGCATTTAGAGATGAAGTTAGACACCTATACAGCTTCACACTGAAGTGGTTCTCCTAGTGGAAAATACAGGGGAGAGGAGCATAGATGTACTTCTGCAGTCCAATTACTTATTTGTCTGCTGTAAACTGTTTGAAAACGTCTCTGTTTATGTAATCCACTGGAAAAACCTAACTCAACTTTAATTTTGTGGTCTTGAATGTCACCCTAAGAATTTTCAGAAATTATCAATGCAGTGAGGTCTGAGATGTTAAATACTTCAATGCAGATGGTATATGCATAAATAGTTGAGGAATGTGATTTTGTTTTTAAAGTACTGTATTCTTTCAAGCTACTATGGCAAAGACTGTATCTATTTTGTCTATTTTTCCCCTTTTGCCTCAATCCACTGAATGGCGGCTGTTTTCTGTGTGTTTGTGTGTGGAATGTCACTAATAATAGCACTAGTAGTAAAGAATCTTCATCTCACTTCATGGGAGAGGTAGAAAGCATCTATTTATTGAATCATAAGAAAGGGAATGTCCTTCAGAAAGTTGACATCTGTCTATAGAAATCATTGTTCTTAAACTGTTCAGTTGTGATTTTTAATAATGGAAATGGTAGGGAGAAGCAATCAACATCAAATGCAGCTCACAGGAAATGAGAGATTCCAAGGGTTTATTTTTCTTTCCTACCCAATCCAACATCAAACACTCACTTTCATTTTACTTGCTAAAAAGGGGAAAGAAAAAAAATACATAAAATTAATAAAATGCAGGTGAAAACAAACAGAAATGGATACAGGGGAAAAAAATATGCATTTGGCTATGTCCAAAAGGTCTTGCCTCTGATAGGCAATCCCCATGACTGCTTTGAGAGTGGACTGATGCTGCCCTAATAAACTGAAACAAGAGTAGATATGCTTTTTAAATGCCATCATCTAGATTTCACAGTTACTTATGTATTTTTTTATTTAGTTGGTTCATTTAGACCTAGCTTTACACAGCTATTGCCTGGAGCCTTAGGACTAATTATTGCCATGTTAAAAGCTCTTTTACATTACGTATTTGAATTCTTGTACAGATTGGATGACTGTGCTGCCTGAGGCCCTTGGACAACAAGTCATGGTTCAGCAATCCCTGAATGACTGCATACACAAATGTAGTCTTTGGAATGACCACGAGATAAGACTCAACGAGTTGAATTTAAGACCAAATTGAGCGGGTGTGTTGATCTCCTTGAGGGTAGGAAGGCTTTGCAGAGGGATCTGGACAGGCTGGACCAATGGGCTGAGGCCAATTGTATGAGGTTCAATAAAGCCAAGTGCCGGGTCCTGCACTTTGGTCACAACAACCCCCTGCAACGCTACAGGCTCAGGGGAAAGTGGCTGGAAAGCTGCCCAGCTGAGAGGGACCTAGGGGGTCCTGGTCGACAGCTGGCTGAACATGAGCCA